AGTGAGGAACTGGCCTTGGGAAATAAAATAAATAAATAAATGAAATAAGTAAATAAGTAAATAAAATAAATAAATAATAAAATGAGTTAAATAAACAGAATAAATGAAATAAATTCAATAAGTTCAATAAATTAAATAATTAAAGAATTAAATATTAAATAATTAATTTTATTATCCACTTTATTTAATTAATTAGTTTAAATAATTAAATAATAAAACAAATTAAAATCTTTTTAATTTAATTTAAAAATAAAAACCCACTCAAATAAACTCCCCACTGCAGCGCGTGCTGCACTGCAGCAGAATTGCTGCAGCAGGGGGCCCCCTGGGGGCCCCCCGGAGACCCTGGGGGGCCCCCCCATCTGTACCCTGGTTCGGGGACTGTTTCCAGCACTATTCTGCTGCTGCTGCTCCCGCTGCTGCTGCTGCTGCTGCTGCTGCTGCTGAATATGCGCATTGTCTTTAAACGCCCCTCAGATGACTCTTCACAGGGGCCCCTCAGGGGGCCCCCCAGGGCCAGGGCCTCCAGGTCCCCAGGGGGCCCCCCTGAGGGGCCCCCAAGAGGGGGGCCCCCAAGGGGGCCCCCTAGGGGGCCCCCTAGGGGGCCCTGAGGGGTTTCACCAGGGGGGCCCCCTTGGGAGCCCCCCTGGGGGGCCCCAGGGGCCCCAGGGGCCCCTTTTGAACCCTCAGGGCTTCCAGAGGAGATGGAGGCATCTGCTGCAGTCTCTTGCTGCTCCTTTTCGTTTGGCTGCTGCTGCTGCTGCTGCTGCTGCTGCTGGGCGGAGGCTGGGTCCTGGGGCGGGCCAGCATCAAGGGGCCCCCTGGGGGGCCCCTCTAGGGGCCCCTCTGCAGGCAGCAAGTGGGGGGCCCTTGGCCGGTAAATGCGAGGGAGGCCCCCCTGCTGAGAGGGTTCTCTGAGCCTTTCAGGGGCCCTAGGGGGCCCCCAGGGGCCCCCCAGGGGGCCCCCCCAGGGGCCCCCCCAGGGGCCCCCCCAGGGGCCCCCCGGGTGTGGGGCCCTGGGGGGCCCCTCCGGAGGGGCCCCAGGAGAGGCCCCCCGGGGGGCCCCCTGCAGGGCCTCGGGGGCCCCAAGGGCTGTGGGGCCCCTGCTTGGCCCAAGGGGGCCCCAAGCCTGGGGCCCCTGCGGGCCCCTCCTGGTGGGTACCTGCAGGGCTACCGTTTGGGGGGCCCCCCCTGGGGGGGGCCCCCCGAGGGCGGCTGCGGGGGCCCCCTGGGGGCGCCTCGGGCTGCTGCTGAGGGCCTCCTGGAGCAAGTTGCTGCTGCTGCTGTTGCTGCTCCTGCTGCGCAAAAAGAGAGAGAGTTCTGCTGCTAAAGTCTCCTCAGAAGCTTCACTAAAACTTTTCTTTAAACGCAAACCCAAACCCTCGGGGGCCCCCTCGCTGCGCTCCCCAGGGGGTCCCCCACAGGGGCCCCCAGGGGGCCCCCCGCAGGGGCCCCCAGCGGGGCCCCCGCAGGGGCCCCCAGGGGGGCCCCCGTAGGGGCTTTCGGAGGGGCCCCCGTCGGGGGCTGCTCCACAGGTGGCCCCACAGGGGGTCTCACAGGGGCCCCCACAGGGGCTCCCAGAGGGGCCCCTACAGGGGGCCCCACAGGGGCCCCCAGAAGAGCCCTTACGGGGGCTCTCAAGGGGGCCCCCTGGGGGCCTGGCCAAGCCAATATCGAGGGCAGGGTCTTTGTTGGGGGCCCCTGCTGGTTCGCTGCTTTCTGCATGCAGCGGCCTGCTGCTGCTGCAGCAGCAGCAGCTGCTGCTGCTGCGGTTAGAAGAAGAGCGAAAAGACTTTTCGTGCAGCCACATTGGGGGCCCCTCTGGGGGGTCTTCAGGAAGTGCTTTTGCTGCGAGCACTCTAGGGCTGCTGCTGCGCGAAAGAGGCTTCTGCTGCTGCTGCTGCTGCTGCTGCTGCTGCTGCTGCTGCTGCTGACGAGCAGCCTTGTGGGTCTTGCGGATCTCTGAGGTATTTTCTGCAGACAAGGAGACACTGGAGGAGCGGCTGGGGGCCCCTTGTTT